ACAGAAAACTGATATATTATAACAGAACAAAAAGAAAGCACAATTTTGGCCAATAAATATTTTTTGCTTTTTCGGAAAAGGCACAGCCCTAACCCTATATTACAGGAAATGCTCATGATGTAAGTGCGTGCAGTGGATCACAGTGGCACCAACTCCATGCATAGTCCATGTCTTGCAAGTCTCTCCAGTACTGATGACTGAGCCCATCATACTATAGTTTCTTCCACTCAACATGTTTTTGTATGATTGGAAGCAACCCTCTAAACTAACAGCTTCTTAAAAATGAGATCCTCGCAATCTTCTCTGCCATGAAGAATGAGCTTTTGTGTGATGAACTTCAGCAGTTTATCTACCTTATAGAGGGTAGTCATTTTCTTATCATTGTGCAAGTGTGGATCAAAAATGGTCTTCTTAAAACTATTATGCTAAAATACAAGATTTGGTTTTTTTTATAATCTTTAAGCCATCATCAAACTTAAAGGTATAGTATAGGATGTTATTTTTCTGGGTGGATCATCAAAATAAGTGGTCCTCCTAATTATCAATCATTCTGCTGATATGTTTATGTAAGGCCGTCCTACGTGCTCGTCACCATTTTCACTTACCCGTGGTGGGTATGATAATGAAAAAGATTGCAAATCTTTTTTTGGAAAGTAAGCTTGTATGAGGGATGCAAACAGAAACTTTTTACCAGAGTGTGCATGAGGAGAAATGGGCTTATGCACGCTCTCGCACGCCTTTAATAGGCGTTCCCTCTCAGGAGCGGGTACAGGGTTGTGTAGGTGCTTTTTTTTGTTTGTTTGTTTTTTTTTTTTTTGTAGTTGCGGGTCTTTTCAAAACCTCGCAAAAATCCTCCACTGTACCTTTAAAAGTGTATTCAATCTGTAGAATTTTCCGTTTTTTAAAAGTTATTACTGAAACGAATCAACATTTCAATAACATCTAAATATGTTGAGATCCAAATAAATGAATAGAATCTCCACTCAGCTGCATCTCATAAAAAAAGAAAACATCTTTAATGAAGACACGGGCAGCAGAACTAACGGCAAACAGTTGTGCAATGTTAGACAGACATGGTACAGGTGAAAGAGTTATTTTAAATACTAAAGAGGAAAAGCAAAAATTACATACATTCTTACAAATCTTCAACAGGAAAGGTCTTAAAAAGATTAATACTATTCAGTATGTTCTAACAGTAGAAACATTGAAAACTGAGGCGAAAAATTGTTTAGCGTTAAAAATGTACAAATGATTCTGAAAAGGATAACCAATCACAATAAATTATCAAATATATATAGATATATAATAAAAGGATATAAATTCATGGTACTAAAGCAACTGTAGATACATGTGATCATATCAGATGCAGTGTACTTAACCATATAATCACATAAGCCAGCATGAGGTTACTTAATCTGTGATATGTCTAATGACGTTTTCAATGACTTCCTTTTTTTATATATATATTAAAGCAGACATTTGTAACATCCTCCCTGGATTTCACAGCTGAATCATCCCCATCTCATCACCAAAATTACACAAGAAAAACCCTCATGTTTTAGTGGTCTTCACAGAATACATATCACATGAGCCAGCATTGGACCAGAACCATCCTCAGCATTAATAAATAGGACATGTAACCATTTATTTGCCTTGTACCACAGTTTGTTTAGCATTTTCACATTACAGCCACTAGAGGGAAGCAGGGGCTTATTGGTCAGTTAGTGTTTGCAGCTTTCAAGAGAGACTGAATTTGGCACAAGGTCAATAACAACAGCACCGGTTTCTCCCCCACAATCCTAAACAGCCCCATCCAGAAAAATGGAGCTTAAAAAAAAAAAAAAAAAAAAAAAAAAAAACAATAGTAACAACAAGATCCAGTGTTCATTAAAAGAAAAGACCAACAAACCACAGAACAATAAACATATGCAGAAAGGGAGTCAACGATTGGAGTTTAATTGATGGGGAGAAAAATGACATGAGGATTATGTAATACGGATTACCAAAGTTTCTAAAACACAGCTTGAAAAAAAAATGAACTAAAATAAGGCATGACAAATGATTGGAATCATGCATTTTAAAGTAGTGTTTGCACGAATGGAGGGTAAATCTTTTTTTTTTTAAGCAGCCACTATAAAAATTACATGACAAAACATGTTTGAATTTTAAACTGGAGTGCTTTTGTGATGCCAAACATAACAGGGTGCACCTAAACCCTATTCTTTTAATAGGATGATTTCAGCATTTCTGGGAAGCATAAATAGCTATAAGATGACTTCAAGTAAAAGTTACAATTCCTAAGAACAACAATTTAGGGTTGTATAATTTGTTATCATTTATATTTCTTAATATTTTTTTTTTTACTGATGTATTAGAGAGATATTAGGAGTATAATTGCATGCTTATGCAGAAATTGTATCTTCTATATGAAGGGACCCTCAAAACATGACCTTTTACCATCCACAAGTGAAACGATTAAATATCCACATATGTTTTTGTGCATATAAATATAAAGTATTGAATCATTTAAATCTAATAATTTCAAATTACACTATACATGATTTTGCAGCAGATATCTCCATCCGTTTTGTTCTGCTTTACCCAGGGCTGGGAGCAGAGATGCTCACTCATTTTCTATATTTATTGATTTATTAATATTCAATCAAGTAATTCAAATAATTAAGGAATTTATTCTACATGTATCATGTAATCATGTAGTTAAATTATTTTCCTATTCAACAACTTATGAACTAAATTGTGGCACTTCAACCATTAATACCCCCCAAGCAGCCATAAAGGAATCATTTTGTGAATCAATTTATACATTTTTCAACATATTTTTTAAAGCCAGCAAAGTTTTCGGGGTTTTTCTTTTTTTTCTCCAAATTTACATGCAGTGCCCGCACATGGATTTTAAGATGGTCACCATTTTACGACATCTATCAGCTTTGCAGAATTAAAAAAGGCAGTGTTATAGTTATAGTCATAGTCAAAGGAAAGATCTCTTTTAGAAATGTTTTTTTTTTTTGCTATATATTTATAAACCTGAGAAGCAAAAAAACTAAATAAAAGGCAGCCATAAGATGGGCCGTTTTCAATGCATTTTTTTCCCCAATTCTCATAAATATCCTTGAACGTGATGTTTTTATTTTTCATATCAACATATTCAAAACATGCAAGATCAAATTCTTGTAGAATAATTTGGATTTTTTTCCCCCTTGGTACAGAGTTCATAGCTTCATTGGGTTTTTTGCCTCTTATTTAAGCATATTTACTTTCGATGGAAATTACTGATTTTAACTGTATAAATAAACTAAAAAAAAAAATTGCTAGTTAAAGAGTACAGCAATAGTCTTGACAGCCAAAGTTTCCTGTCTTGAGCAAAAAGTGAACAACAGTAAAACCCATTAGCTTTGAATGATTATTAGATTATTCAGGGGTTAGAATTTACCAATTCATTCTGCCAAAACAAGCCCAAATATCTTTAACTAATACTATTTAAGATTGGGAGCTACACTGTAGAAAATTCAGCTTTCAATAATTATTAAAAAAAACAGAAAATCGGTTAATTTAACCTGAATGGTGACTATCATCTTCATTTCTATTAGACATGACAAGGTAATGGAATGTATCTGTCACAATAATGCCCAGCTATGATTCCCATAAGGTGAATGATGGCTCTGTGTTTTTTCGTTTTGTTTTATGATGGTATAAAAACAAAAGTCCTTAGAAATTTTCACAAAACAAAGTGTGTTTCAAAGTGTCCGGTTAAATTGCCAGGTTTTTGATGTAAAAAATAAGATTTTGAAAAGATATTAAAGCTTCTTCAAAAAGTAATATGACAAAAATGCTCTAAAATTTCACAGTAAATTAAATAAATCTGGTAAAATGTGAAAACATAAAAAGATACAATAACCTAGTTGCAATAATGTGGACACCTTTATACAAATCCTTCATTGAACCAGTTTTAGCACTATAGTTGATTTGGATCTCAGACTCAAAGTGAAGCTATAAAGTAAATCCATGTTCAGATTTTTAATCTAGACGCGAAAGTTTCATAAGATGTAAATATTCAAAACTTCAGCCATTGTGACATAAACTTGGTTACATTTAAGAAAACTCACCATAGCATGATGCTGCCACCACCATGTTGGAATCTAGGTGTGATTTATTTTTTTCTTCTTTTTAATGGTTTGAAGTGCAATTGCTGTGCTAAACATATTTTGAGGAACTGTTTTCCAAATGTTCTTGGGATTTTATCCTGAAAGTTTTTGGAATATTCCTGTTGTACCATATGTTTACCAGATAATGCTCATAGAGTCATGATGAAGCAACAAAAATTAAAACTGCTCAATTTCTTTCTCCTGCAGCTTTAGCTAAGGGATGCATAATTCTGAAAAATACCAGCAGGACTTCATTTTAGTTTGATCGGATTATAGATGGGTAACGTTAGGGAAGAATGAATGCCAAAAATGTTTTATGAGGTGCTTCAATATAGTGTTAGTTTAAGGGTGTGCACAATGATGCAGGCAAGCCATTGCTGTGTTTATTTGGGTTTTATATTTTTAGCCTTTCATACTTTTTTGTTGTCGTTTTTCAACCAGGATTGCGCAAAATTTGTTATACTTAATGTTTGCAAATCGGTTTAATGGTTCATTAAAATAGAATTTTAATTTTTTTTTTTTTTACAAAAACCTGGCATTTTTACACACATTTTAAAGTTGCTTTAAGGAAAACATCTTGAACATTTATTGGAACGTTTCGGTCCTGTTTTAGAGATAATGTGTACCTTTGAGTGAAAAAACATGAAACATATTAGATGACTTACCAATTATGATGAGATTTTAATTAAAAAAATATTTGTTTAATTTCATCACGTGCTACCTGGGATTAGAATCCTGGATGCTCTGCAGATTCTTCATTGCAGACTGTGACTTTTAACCTTCATAGTTGCAACCTTTTCTTTTTTTTTTGTTTAACTTTTTTGTTGTGTTTTTTAAGAACATCAGGTCACACTGATGCCCGATAAGCAGCAACGTCACAAATCTCAGGTCAAACGGTCAAGAAAGGAAAGTTTGCCTGAGTTCACAGGACAGATTCAATGGCTTCGGGCAAGCCCTCCAAGATTTTAGTTTGACGCATGACGAGCGGCGACGTCTCCTCTTCCGCCTGAACATTGGCCACAGATTCAACCCTGACCTCTTCCAGCTCCGCCGCCACCTCCTGTTGATGCTTCTTTGACTCCAGCTGGTTGATGTGGTGGAGGATTCCTGCTCCCAGGGCGTCACCTTCAACGTTCACAACTGTAGTAGTACGATCACTGAATTTAACAACAAATGGGAAAAAACTAATTAAAAGCGGTTCGATGTCCTTGCTAATAATCATGGCTTTCCGAAATCAGATTCCTTTTTCAGGAGGTGAACTCTATGTTTAAAGCTCTGCATAAAAAGACGACTTTTATCTGAAAAAACACTGAAAACCTTTTTAACTTGCTTTTCCTCTGCCCCCATAATACTGACTGTTTATCAGTGTATGTATTGGGTTTAACTTTACTCACACAATCCAGTCGACAGCCAGCATGAGGGACAGATCATTGGTCGGCAGACCGATAGCCTCCAGGATGATGGCGATGGTGATGATGCCGCCGGCTGGGATACCAGCAGCACCGACACTGGAGGCTGTAGCCGTTACCCTAAAAGTGATCGAAACCATTAATGAATCTGTTGCAAAAAAAAGAAAAAAAAGAAAGCTCTGCATTCGTGATGTAAACGCTATTTCACTTTTTTTTTTTTTTTTTTTTTTTTAACACATTGTATGCATTGCTTTCCTTACAAAAAAGTATTGCACATTGCTGATTGAATCATGGACGAATCTAAATAGTGAAAAATCCTACAAGAGGCTAAAAAAGACTTGGGACTAGGTGGGAGGTTTACCCTCCAACAGGACAAGAACTGTAAACCTTAATGGAGAGGGCAACATTTAGCTCAATGCATCATTGATGTAAAATGCATAATAATGTAGTAAAGTTTTAAAAAGTTGCCTTGAACCCCTTTTTTTAAAACATCAAATTCCTTTTATAAAATAAAACTTACAAGATGGTAAAGATCTGTCCTGCATTGAGCTCAGTATTGTTGAGCTGTGCGATGAAGACGGCAGCAATACACTGGAAAATGGCTGCTCCATCCATGTTCACGGTGGCACCAATGGGAAGGATGAAGCGGCTAATGCGTTTGTCCACACCATTGTTTTCTTCCACGCACTTTATCATTGAAGGAAGAGTTGCTGAACTGGTGAAAAACATCAAACAGCAGAGTGAAATTATCGCCTGGATGATCCATGTTGGCGAGAAAAACCAAATGCATTGGCCGCTGTGGGAGAATACCTGGAGCAGGTGGCGAAGGCGGTGGTGAAAGGTGTGATGAGGCCTGAAAGGAAACTGTAGGGGTTTTTTCGTGTGAATGCAAAGTAGATGAGGGGAAGAACAATGCCTCCATGGATGATGTGGCCCAAGATTGAAGCAAAGATGTATTTCCCCAGACTTGTGACCAGAAGAACCACATCCTCCATTTCTACGATCTTACTTCCCACAAGAAACATGATGCCAAAGGGAATGTACCTAAGAAAGAAAGAAGGCATTACTATGAAAGAAGATCATTGGCACCTTTGATCAAACCTTGAACAGGTGGGGGCCATCCATCCATATTTACCACATGATCCAGGACACCAGCACCATCGTTGCCTCATTGAATGCGTTAAAGAAACGAATTAGCTCTTCTCCCTCCTGTCCAAGCATCCGCAGGGCCACACCGAACACCATAGCAAACAGCACCAGGCCCAGGATGTTCATGCCATCTGTTTCAGTTCCAATCGGCACCTAAAACATCCAGAAATGTTACACTGTGAGAACATGTACAAACTATACAGATTTTGAGAGAAAATCTCTAAAAAGTACTTCCATTTAAAATCAACAGACAAGAAAACAGAAATGTATCTTTGAAAATACGTTAAGCCTGAGCAGTTTAGGATATAAGGAGCACTAGAGCACAAGAAACTTTGCAGTGACATAAAGGAAGCACAAATAAATTTAAAAAAATGAACAATTAAATTAAGATCTTAAAAAAAATGATGGCTTAAAAAAAACTTCATTACAACCATTATCAGTTCTTGCTCCATAGACCGTCAGTGAAAACATACACATACTTTATAGATCAGTTTAAGTTCAACTGATTTATATCTTGCAGTTTTTACACTTTTTCAAAACAAGGGAAAAAAAAAGAAAAATAAACACAGAAAGGCATTTTTGCACAACTAGAATAAAAGATTCACTGAATCCCAAATAGTGTTTTAAAGAACATCTACTCAGAATCCAATATACTTGTCAAGGTTTATTCATTCTAAGTATTTTAGCTTTTAATGAGAGATGATCAAATTCCAACAAAACATTTTAAAACTGAGTTAAACTGCCGAAAAACGCTGTAAATTAGAAGCCATCAAAGCCATATCTTCTTACGGGTCTGTGCACAACCCAAGAAAAATCCACCCAACTTAGTGTAGAAAGGCAAACAAGGGGGAAACAAGTCATGCGGAATGTAACTGACATTTTTTTTTGCATCTTTAAGGCTTGTGCAATGCCCTAATAGCAAAGGTCCCGAAGCGCAGAAATAATTCATTACCAATATAAATAACTGATTGCAGGTAAAATGTTGATTATTCATATTCTTGGGAGAAATATACTTAAAAATCAAAACTAGCATAGTAAGGTAGGTGGGAGTGCCAGAAGTGTTTTTATTTAATAACATTTCTATTTTTTTTTATCTCAACACACACAAGAGTTCAATTAAGACCAAAGTGTTTGAGTACATACAGCTAGCACGGCAAAAACATACATGTTTACCCAAAGCCAACCAGAACTGTTTTTTTAGTTCTTTAAATATGTTTCCACAACAGCAGTTGCTCAGCCAGTCTAAGCCTGGTCAGGAACAACATGCGCCCACCTCATTTATGGTAAAGTAAACTAGTCGAGCTGGAGAGCTTATACAGTCACTCTCGTTTGTACAGCACTCCTTACTATAGAGAGAGCTTGCACGGTTGCACAGGTCTCAGGCAGCAGGAGAATTCAATGAACTGGATGATGGATAATGAATAAAGACAGCAACAAATCCTGAGCTCAATCCCTTCATAGTGCGTTGAGCTCTCCCACAGCCTGACCAGCTTTGACCAGTAACACTGAACTGGACAACACACCATAATTTGCTATAGCCAGAGAGATATTTCAGTTATTTTAGATTCCCTTTATTTACCTCTCCTTAAATTTTTAATTCTCTTTCTCTGATATAGAGCCATAAATAATCAAGCTGAATCATGTAAGAAAGCTCTGATTGTTCCTTACAATTTTTAACAGTAGAACTGGAAGCAGACTTTTGTAGTTTTCAGGTTTTTCTCTTATGAAAGCAACTACCAGATTTATTCTGAGGCAGACACCAAACTATCTTTTTCAGAAGAAGTTCAAACAATCTTTTTTCATAAAATTTATAATTTGAATGGCTCAGATCATCCTGAGTTATGTCTATACCTATGCTGTTCTAGGCTTAAGCCACTGGAGGACATGGAGTCCACTTCTCCTTGCTTTTATTTTCTCTTATTACTCTCTAATTTTGCATTATTTGACATTTTTACAACATTTACATATTCAATAGTTTTTTGTTTTCTTCTCATTGTAGTTACACCTGGCCTGACGTGTTCAGCTGAGTCCAGGAAGGAGGCAACCAAAATGTTCTCCTGCTGTAGATGATACACCTGCTGTTTAAATTTGGTTGCGATAACAGAGTTTGGACCAAGCTTCTGCTGTTGAACAGATGACCCCAAATTTGATTTCAAAATGGGGAAAAAAAGGCACAATCATAACTTTTCAACAACTTTACTTCACAGCTTGTAAGAGGAGTTTCCTTTTCTTAAATATGGTCCAGGGCATTGTGATCAAACTTCTAGGCACTAATGTCCAAAGAACATTGTTGCAGAGGTCATTTAGAAGTCATTTAGATGAAACTTGGCTAAACTATGTTTTTTGGGGGGGCAAAAAAAGTTTTTTTTTTCCTGGTAACCCTTCTGAAAAATCTGGACGTTTTTCTTTATATTTTTATCTGGTTGCCTATGGAGTCTGAGTTGCAGCTCTTACTTTTTGTAATTCCTCCGAACTTGCTGCCACTGGGGTGAACTTGGCATTACTTTCACTAGATGGGGAAATGTCTTAAATGCATTCCACCTGTAAATAACATTGTTCTTTGTAGAATATGATCTACAAATTGTTGACAAAACTACCTTATAACCCGGTGTCAGATAAACAGGCAAACGCCATGTGGTTTTCTGTGGCGTGGTTTTTCTACAAAGGCATTTTTTATATTTAAAAAAAACATTCAACTTTTATACTGTGAAATTTTGTTTTTCTACATTCAAAGTCCACCTACAACAAGAAAAACAATCTAAAAATCACAACAGACCTCCCCATTGGTGCAGCACAAATTGCCTATTGAGTTAGTCTGCACCGATTGATAACTCGCTTACACACCAAGTGCTGAAAGCAAACAGATAACTGTTTGGGTGGGTGGCTATCGATGAGAGCTCCTTTCCTTTTTAGAAATAAAACATCTGGCCTATCGTGTCCAATAATCTTTTGTGCTTTCTGTGCTTACCTTTTGATAGAGGATTGTCCCATTGGTATCGTTACCCACAGCAACCATTTTGTAATCCGTGGCATACTATAACATAAAACATAAACATTATATTGTTAGAAATGTGTGCTCCATAAATCTGTTTTTATGCACTAATGGAAGGCCCCAACAGGAGTTTTATATGCATCATGACTTAATTCATTGCCACATGCAAAAATGCAGATGTATAAACAGGGAAATTGTTAACATAAGGTGACTAACATGGAGCCTGAAATACCATTGAATATTTTTAATGACTTAGATCACACTAAATTAATGAAAACTAGGTTTGGCTGTAATGTAAATTAATGTAAATCCTCGGCACTTAAACTAATTAGATATAGATTTCCTCAAAGTTCAGTGCTTTGATGTTATTTTTCAGCCTGAAAAAAATTATTATTCAGATGATATTGTACTAATTATCCAAAAATAACAATTAAAAAAATAAAACTTAACCAAATCTATAAAAAATAATTCTCAAAGCATCAATCATTAGCGAGGATTATTGAGCAGTACATTATTCTTATGGCTACAAGAAGCAAATTGCTTATATTCTGCTAATAATAAGATAACACTGGGCATTTTTAAGCATGTATGCATAGTTTTGACCAGGTGCAAATTAGACCACATTCATAACACATATTTAATAATATAGTTAAAATAAATAACTGAAAGTTAAAAAATTGACGTTGATGCCCATAATGAGATATACATTTTTTACTGTATTTCTTTTATTCTTTTTGTTTTTATTGTAGTTTTATTTATATTTACAGGGCATTACCCCAAGAAGTAAAAAAAATCTGATATTTCTTCTAATTAAATTAAACAGCTTTTTGCAATCTCTGCAAGGATTTATTTAAATCTACCCTCCATTCTGCTTTTGTGGTTTAACCCACATTTAAACCCCTTCACTGGGGCTCTCTCACCGTACTAAATGCGTGTGTTTCAGGGATTTATTGAACTCTATGAACTCTGCTTCTCTTGCTCTGCCACTTACTGACCAGATTGTAAGTTTATAATTCACAGAGAGGATTTTGTGCTTGACTGGAATGAGAAAGGTGTGAATGCTTTGACAGCTGTAATTGGACGCACTTTTCCTGGAGAGTGTTTGCATAGTCATTTCACGCCTCGCATCCTAAAATATTGAATTTTCCTTGTTTTCCTTTGGCTTAAGCACACAGCAAACATAATTCTAGGAAATGAAGCGGGCACTGTTCAAGAGTGGGTTGCTAGGCTAGTGGGAACGGAATGGTTTTGCCATGGTAACGGGTGTTGGAGAAAGACAAGGGGGGTTAAAAAAAAAAGCTTGCAGGAGCGGGGTCTTTGGGTGTTATATTGCCTCTGTAAATGAACCTGGAGAGGCATCCACGTGGTCGGTAAAATAAATTAGGACGAACAATCCAACACAACATATGAAAGGAAAGCCACCAGAGAAAAGTCACTTACAGAACGGAAAGCAGCCGCCACCAAGTTCGATGGAAACAGATTCCTGAGTTAAGAAGAGGGGGAAAAAACAAATTAGATGCAGATAAAACCAGAGCCATGGTGATGCAGTTTCTGATGTGTCAATGGGTTTAATCGAGCTGAAGCTTCTGGAAGAGGAAATGTTTTCCAAACCAAGCCTGAATCAAGTGGCCCAAACATTATTTTTTTCCACCCTATAAACATGAAAGTCTCTTTTCCACATTTAGAGACACATTTTAACATTTTTATCTTATTGAACCAAAATCTTAATACATTTGAGAGCTCACTCCACATTTTAATGAATCAGCTGTTTTCCAGATATGTGTCATATGGAAACAGCTCTGAGATCAGACCCAGAACCTAGTGTAAGGATGAACATTAAAGCAAAGAAAGCAAATAAGGCTTCTAGGAAACTGGAACAACCTCACACACTGAAAAACAAACAGTTTTTTGAATATAGATTCTAATCTATTTTGATGTATTTTATTTTGTTGCACAAATAGCTTTTATTCATCAGTACCTCAACATGACATAAAACTGAGAAATAGGGATGCAACATTCAGGAAATGGAGTGAAGTTGATATTTAAATTTGGGAAAATGTTTATCCACGGAAGTTTGTGCATCAACTCTACCAAAGAGCTCCTAGGCACCCCTTAATTAACACTCCTAATTGTTTTAACAAACCTTTGGTGCAGGACCATCAAAAGTTGGCCTCAATGGAGGTTTTCCTGCCTCAGCACAGCTGATTTTCATTGATAACTGATTAACAAGCTTTAGCTGAACAGACATAATCAGAATCAGCTGTGCTGAAGCAGAAAAAAACGTCTAAAACCTGCAGGACAACAACCATTGAGGGCCGATTCGAGGGCCATAACAGAACAGCTGTTCTTGTTCTGAGATTTAGCAAAACACACCTGGACTCTATTTACTAATTAAGTGACTTCAGAACACAGCTGGTTGCACAGGACTGCATTTAGGGGTAGGAGAGTAAAAGGGCCTGAATAAACAAACATGCCACACTTATCAGATTCTTATCCACAGACAGTGATAACACCATGTTTGCCATTTGCTGCTCTGTTTTGTTCCAAAACTTTTAGGGCTGCAACTAATAATTATTTTGCCAATTGATTAATCTGTTGATTATTTTGTCAATGAATCAATTGATAATCTGATAGCAAAAGGTTCCTTACAGAAGATTTTTTTACAGCATTAAACTAAGTGAAACTAAAACTTTTCCTCTTGAGTTCTGGATAGAGCATTTTGACAAAAGTTTTTTTTATCTTAAAGTTAAAATATTTACATATCTTTTTATAATTTTGGCATAATTACTAAAAGAGCTGCTCTGTCAGCTAAAGGCATGTTTTAGAGTCTTTGTGCTCCAGTTGACGATTAATCGATAACTAAATTAGTTAGGGATAATATCAATAATCAATTAATCTGATTCATTGTTTTAGCCCAAATCACTTTAAAGTCTATTAAAGCTGGTGGCTGTAATAAAGGCAGTATTTTATTTCTAAACACTTAACAAGAAAATGAATTGGATTTGAATGAATAATCCATCTAAGCTGGGTCCCCAGGATAAGATCCACAGCATCTCTGGGAAGAGGCTCGCTGGGGTTTGTGAGTCTGTGACCTCACATCAGACAAAGACATTAGATGGATGATATTGGCACCATTATTTAACATATACTTTTCTCTGAACTGAATTCACAACACGGAGAATGTTTGATAGCCATCTAAAATCATAAGACAATGAACCAAAGTTTTTCTAATCAATAAGCTTAATTTTCCCCCCACATACATACAACATGCAAATTCCACACATACAGACCCAGGCTGGGAATCCAACCTTGCTGCTGGTATAACAGGACAGATATCACTCTGTAGCTCACAGGTAGCCTTTATTCTGCTTATTTTAAAGAGATAAATGAAAACAATTGTTAATGAGCGTTCTGTTCAGATGTAATCAGAGCAAAAAGCTATTTTTTCTGTAGTTTATCTGATCGTATTCATTCCTCCCACTGAGTTTATTATCAAGCTGTGAGATAAGCATACTGGGAGTACTGGGAGTACTGGGAACCCCCCCCCAAAAAAAAGAAACGTGTGGAGATTTGGAAACTGTATCTTCTGGGATTGCGTTTTATTGTCCAAGAACATCAACTCTTTGCACAAGTTTGTTTGCACAGCCGGTAAGCAGATCCAGTCCCCTAATGAGTCCAGTAAACTTTACCCTCACTCCTGGGCTGAATGTTGATTCAGTCAATACATGACCTCGGCCGGTCATACAAACCTGCAACTTTTTTCCACTGTTACCGAACACAGCAGAGGGTAAATCTAAAATTCCCGCAGGAACTAAGCTGAAGGTCAGGTTGCCCTTTATCACATGATTGAGGTGGGCATTTGGGAAACGGCATGTCTTTCCCACACTGTAGTGAGATCCATGGACAGATTTTTTTTTTTTAAGCCATCATATGTCAGCTTCCTAGTTAGCCAGAGCTGAGCATCGTTTCGTTTCAAATCAGCAGAATCACAGGTTAAACTAATGCCAGCTGAAGGGAACCTGGCTATAATGTAAATTTTTTTAGATTCATTCACTGCAGCAAAATAAAATAAAAATGTATATCTTTAACTTCTGATGACTTCTGATGGCAGTTTAAAAACAAATACCTGCATGTGTCTGACTCTACAAATGGGAAAACAGTGAAGAGAGAATGCCTGTAATCTATTAGAAGCGGTGAGATCAAACCAACTGGCAGAACACATGGTAACAACAACAAAGATTTCAGCTGAAAGGATTATAAAACTCTGTTAAGAAGGTAAATCGAGACAGAGTGAGGGAGCTGGGTCTAAAGTCTGGAGCAAATCCAAATTAAATATTCAGGTTGTAAAAGGAGAACATTCAACTAGAGCAAGGAAAACATTGAACAAACTCAAATCAACTCAAGCATTTACCTCCTAGTGGGTCTATTTCTGCAAAAGTCTCCACTGAACTTTCAACACTACTAGAAGATTCACTTAAGCTGGTCCTGTGGCTTAAAGTTATATTATTGAGACCTCTAAAGGTCTCAGCATTTTCCCTTCCCTACATGTTACTGCACACTGCCGACTAGCTGGCTGAAAGAGGACTACTATGCAGACAGGAATAGAAGCCTTTCATCTACTAAGGATTTGCACATGTATCTTTTTTTCTGCACTTATGTTGGACCTATGGTACAAATGCATCATTCAAAGAGCCCATTTTCTTCTTAGAAATACTTCTAATGATGAAAAATATTTGGTGGTCATTATGTGAAAACTAAAGGAACTCTAACCTTGATCTTATCTAGGGCTTAATGTAAGGTCACATAAGTAATTGAAAACCAGGTTTTTACTCCTCTGTAAGTCAATCAGGAACAGAACCCCCCCAAAAAAACAACAACAAAAACTAAGGTTATAAACAACATTACTGTAACTGTGAGGACAAAGATGATATTTTATCTCATCTGACGTATCCACACCTCTGCAGTTTATATGTGAAGGGCTGTGGCATTTAAAGAGACTATACAACCCAGTGAACCAGAGTGTGCATGCAGAGGACATGCAAACTTCTTGCAGAGATGATTTTAACTCACAACCTTTGGGATGGAAGACAAGAAGGATAACAAATGGGCCTCCTTCCGCAGAAGAAGAAGGAGCTAAACTAGAACCAATAATAACACTTAAACAGTCTTGGACAGAGAGGAAAGTGGAATCCTAATTCTGCACCGCCCAAAGAAGAAGAGGCTGGAGTTTTTGTTTGATTTCTGGCTGAAGAAAAGAGGCACATTTCCACATGTAGTGACAATCTAAAAGATAATACAGCAAAAAGAAAGCCACAGGTGGACATTTCTCCTTCGATTGATCATAAGGTCTGCAGAAGATTAAGTCATATTATAGATGATGATGCATCTTTCCATCCAGCAGAGTGCAGCAAGTTTGGTTTTTTTTAAGACTTGAAAGACTTAAAGCTAAACTAAAATGCTTTTGGTTCATGAATCCACCCATGTTTTTTTTTACTTCATCCGACATAAAGAGGAAGTATTAATTAATCACATCAATTCCATTAATTGTTGGCAACCAAACAGGAAGCTTCCACTGTTTTTAAAGGATGTTTGGGATGTTTCCTCCAAGAGAAGCTATTCTAAATCCATTTGGAGGAGTTTTTTATGGGTCACACCTTCCTAAACTAAAAAACAAAAAATACTTGACGAGACCTGCTTTTAGAGTGAAACCGGACACTTGCTGCAGGAGAGGTCAGAGGTCATCAGTGCTGTTAGAATTCACCCTCTGGGAAGGTTTCAGCACACTGGTTCAGAGAGGGCTGGTATTGTGCAGAAATTGTGAGAAGGATTTTACTAGGACTTTTTCAAAGCAGTGGTTCTGGAGGGAGAAACTCTTACATCCAGGATCCTCTTTATGGATACTTTATAAAATTTAGTTTGCTCAAAACTGAATGAAGTCTAAGTGATGAAAAATTTACCAAAGAAAGAGTTTGTTTTTGTTTTTTTAAAAGCCTAAAAACTAAAACTCTACATATCGAATAAGAGCTCAGCAAATCATTCTTTGGTTCAACAATATAAGAAAACCACAAACAGAAGAGCAGAGATTGAGTCCAGTCCTTCTCTGGGTGAGTTTAGAGCCGGTTCAACCTGCCTGATAGTCCGGCTGGGAACCTGGACCCAGACAATCCATCTGCTGTGATGATAAGGGCCAAGTGCTGAGAGCCACAGTGTTCAGTTTATTCTGCAGAGAGCCAAAATACACAGCTACAACAGCTGTCAACTTCTCTCAATGTGTGGGAACTTATTATTAGGCCCAACGAAGGCCGCTGAGCAGCAGGCTTATATTAATAACCCAACACGACCACAACAAGTATCCTCTACCTTCCAACATATAAACGCAAATATGCTATTTAAAAATCAGGCTTAAATAATCAAAACACACCAAATATCAAAATAAGCCTCCGAAAGATTTTAAAATAAAATGAACTGGCTGTTCTGACAAAATATTAGGAAAAAAAAGTAAGATTGGGCCCACAGCATCACACATCCTGCACCCTACTGAACACTGGGTGTGAGATACTTCTCCACCTGGAGTCTTTATCTCCTTTGACAAGTTGGAGTTAATGTCCCATTAGAGTTTGCAAACCCAACATGTTTATGTTTGTGAAGGTAGGACAAACAAGGATCTTTCTTATCATTGGTTCCAGATAAGCAGGTAGCTTGTAGATTGTTGATAGCTTAAAGGAGAAGTGGCCTTTTAGAAATTATATTTTAAGAACTTAAATGATTTGTAACTTTTTTTGTCAACTTTTAGACCAATCTTTGTTAAACTGATAAATCTTTGAGGCATTCAAATATTTTTTAAACTCTCCAGATGAGCCAGTGTTGTGTCTACAATTAAGAGGTTTTTGACAAATTACAGATTTAAAATAAGGATCTTTGACTCTTTGTTGGGAGTCTGTCACAAGGCACAGCCTCTTCCCGTTTCTTTAGATGCATTTAAGATACAAAAAAAATAAACAAATACACAGATTGATAGACAGAAAGCAGGATTTTAGCCCTCGCCAAGTGAGTCCAGCAGATCATCTAGGTTATAGCCATGGCGGTTCTAGAGAGGGGCCATCAGGGCCCCTGTAGAACTAGTCCTGGCCCCAGTGATGAAAACATGACTATGAAACTTTGACAGTGGTTTAAAACAATTGCACAGTACTGGCAGACTCCATTCATGATAAAAAAAAATTGCATATCTAAGCAATTAATTATTTCATACATTCTAATTTTTGTTCATTAGGTTTTGAATTTGTAATTAAGCATGCCTGTCCACAACTTTCTACACCTTTGTAGAAATGGAAAATGGTCAAACTTTTCGGCCACTTTAATCAAGCTTAAACTTTTTCTTTTGGGGACATGCGACGGCTGTGTAGGGCCCAGCAGGGCAGAGAGCCCCTTCTTGATTTGAATTGCAAATCAAAGCAGTAGTTACACAACACTGATGGTTCCATTGATGAAAGGGCAGATTAGGTAGAGCATCCACATGACTATGACCCCCCACCACCGGAATCCCGTGTGGAGATGGAGAGTGGGAACTGACCCAGTTACAGCGCAGCTGACATGTAAACTTCAGGGTACCATGACCCACACTGAAAGGGTCCCATCAGTGGATGTAATAGCTTAATACGACCCTTACAGTGTTTATAAAGCTGCTTCTTCTTCTCCATCCACTGCAGAAACAGGACAAAGGATAATGATCCACAGTTTTCACAACATGTAGTTCATAAAACACCAGAAATTAACAAAAACAGCACTTTTGAGAACCCCATTATTAGGGGTGGAGATACGCCCCTTACAGGCTATTAGTCCACGAACACAGACAACTTCAAACCTTTCCTCTATATATTCTGTTCTTCCCTCTGACTAAGTCAATAAAGGGCAACATAGCAACAAAACACAAATGAGATGATGCAGAATTTTTTTTTTTTTCCATTTCTCACAGGCATACCTGAAGCTAACTTTTGATTTATAAAATAAAGGGCTATTTCACTGGGGTTTTTTTTTTCAAGGACTAAGGTTCAAATCAGGAATCATTAAAACGGTAGACATAGACTAGATTATTCAATACTAAAGATGTTAAATATAGAGAAATCCTGTTTTCATCAGTGAAAACACACAAAAAAGATTTTAATAGCTTTTTGGGGGGGCATTTTAAGCTCAATAAAATATATTTGTTGTTTTGTGTTTTTATAAACATGTGCTCAAAATCCCAAATTACTTAACAGATTATTAAAAATATATTTATTTAAGAATCTAAAGTTAAAAAACTACTTAATCTATTCACAATTGTGAATCGTTTAAGTGCTTGGTATAATTTATATATATATATATATATATATATATATATATATATATATATATATAACACAAGCTTCACTATCAATTAAAATGTTAATTGAGGTACCTCAATTCAATTTAGTTTATTTATATAGCGCCACATTCACAAGACATGTCATCTCAAGGCAATTTACAGTTCAACCAGATCATCCAGTCAAATTGATTCAAACTAACATTCAATTAATGTTAATTGAAATTGATTCAATTAACATTAAGCCAATTGCAAAATTTATATGTAAATTTATTTTAATGGAAAGTTTAGGTTAAGCAATTGTTATTTTTTTGTTTTGTTTTGTTTTTTGTCTGCACCTGAAATGTAAATTTACTTTAAAAAATGTTAGTGCACATTGTTTTGAAAGAGTTTTATTTATTTATTTTTTTCAGTGCATAAAGCCATATTTCAACCACTGAAATGATTATTGTGGTGTGGAAATGTGGTACAAATGTGAAGCGGCGCGCGGTGGGGTGGGCTTACCTGGCCAGGTCCAGGAAGGAGTCAGTGGTCTCCTTGTTGCTGCTGACGCTCTCCAACCCCAGGCTGTTGGTGTTCAGGGCTCCGGCTCCAACCCCCGGTTTGATGATAAAGGCCAGCGCCACCCCGATCCCCGAGGCGATCAGCGTGGTTACCAGGAAGTATGCGACCGCTATGCCCCCCAGCTTTCCCAGGGAGCGGGTGTCCAGGCTGGCGGCGCCGGACACCAGGCTGCAGACCACCAGCGGCAGGATGATCATCTTCAGCATCCGCAGCAGCATCTCTCCGGGGAAGGCGAAGTGGCTCATCTGCGCTTTGGTCAGATCCATGCTGCGGACCACCATGCCGAGCCCGACGCCCACCAGGACGCCGGACACGGTGAGGATCACCAGCAGGTTCCGGCTCAGGAAAGCGCACAGCCTCTCCCTGAAGCCCCTCTGCTTTTTCTTCTGCTCCTCCTGCTGCTCCTCCACGCAGGGCTCCTCCTGTTCGCTGTTCTCCAGCATCCGAGCTGTGGACGCGGAGCTGGGCATCGCATGTCCATTGAGCTCGCTCTTTTTCTCCATCTTTTTTTTTTTTTTTGTCTGGGGAGCAGACGGCCGTGTGTCTCAGGCAGCGTGGGTTGAATGTCCACGCATGGAGTGGTGGGCTGTAAAGGCTGAGTGCAGAGGGGGCGCGGTCAGCCAATAGAGATGGAGCAACGACGCATTATCCAATGGAGCATGCGCACAAAAGCTCCTTCTTTATGGTTTCACCAAATGATGCAAGAGCAGAGAAGATTGCCAGGGTGTGTTGAATGGGGATGGATGAAAAAAAGCAAAATACAACTAATCATACACCAAAATACATGTGCAGTTTGCATCACAACCTGTAACCTGCAACTAGTAAATCAGTACAACACAGTTATCCAATCTGTGCAGAGCCATCATTTGACTGATGGACAAAAAGAAAAACATAGGAGTGTTCTGATCTAAAATGACCATGCCTCGCAATTAAAACTAATCAGTAGAGGTTTTGTTGCACTAATGCAATGTTTGGATGTGCTGCTTTAAGAAAACGCCCTGATTAGAACAGTTTTTTAAAAGCTGGCACATTTATCATTTACTTATAGGAATAGATGTTCTACTAGTGAAAAGAATTGACTATAGTAATTGGCCCTACGGTACTAGTGAGCCACCAAGTGTGGTGTGGACTTAGTATTTAAGATTTTTTTAGCTATGCCGTGAAGAACTGTGGAGCAAAAATTTGTCACCTTGGTATAATTAGAAGTTAACAAGTTGAAATTTGAGGTAACACTAAACAAAGCATGCACATACAATTATACACTTAAGTGACATCCAGTTCCTAATCCATAGGATGTGGGTCCATCCTTTGCAGCTAGAGCAGCTTCAACTATTCTGGGAAGGATGTCCGCAAGATCTATCGGATTTTCTGATCATTCTTCCAACAGTGAATTTATGAGGTCACACAATGACCTCATCACACAATGATGTTGGGCAAGACAGCCTGGCTGTCAGTCTCTACTCTAGTTCCAATTCCTAGAGGTGTTCTTTCAGGTTGAGGTTGGTAATCTGTGCATGCCAGTCAAGTTCATCCACACCAGACCCTGCCATCCATGTCTTCATGAACCTTGCTTTGCATTGTCATGTTGCAAGAGGAAGAGGGCAACTCTAAACTGTTCCCACAAAGTTTGGGGCATTCAAAACGTCCAAAAGCATTCAGAGTTAAGGGGACAAGCCTAGCTCAAGAAAATCAACCCTACACCATAATCTCCCCCAGCCACCAAATTGTACACTTGGCATTTTGTGGTCAGACAAGTACCGTAAGTATCTGTCAGATTTCCAGATAGAGAAGCATGATTCGTCCTTCCAGAGAATTGATTCTTCACAGCTCTGGAGTCCAATAAACACCTGCTTTGTATAAGTGCATCCACTATTTACATTGCAGATGGTGATGTATGGTTTGGATGCTTCTGCTCCACAATAGAAATAAATTTCCTGAAGCTCCCTGCTCCCGGTTCTAGAGCTAATCTAAAGGCCACATGAAGTTTGGAGGGGGTTAGGGACTGAATATAAATAAAGTTGGCGACCTCTTCGCATTAGCTAAGTTAGTTTACGTGGCCTATCAATTCATGGATGTCATTCCCAAAACACTTTTTTTTCTGATTCAACTGACCATTGACTGTGTAATACTTTGGAGTGAAGATATTTCAGGCCAGGTTTTGTTGCACAGGAGGCTCCCTATCACAGTTCCACACTGGAATTCACTGAGTCGGTAAGATTGGCACTTCTTTCAAAAATGTTTATAACAACAGTCTCCATCCCTGGGTGCTTGATTTTATACACCTGTGGCCATTGAAGTAAATAGAAAAGTCGTGTGCTAAAATCATTGTTTTTGCCTACATGGAATATTTTCTAAATGTCTTGCAATACTTGTGGATGACAAGACCATGACCTTTTGACCTTCACGTCATGTCACATTAGCCAGGACTTCAAAGGGCTTTCTTTTTTCTTTTTTCTTTTTTTTTCTTTTTTTTGCAAAACCTCCTTTTGCTGTTCTTTTTGGCTGCAGGGCTTTAGGTTAAAAAAAAAACCTTTCCATTGAATTTCTGGCTGTATGCTTAATGTTGCTGACCTGCTGGAACGTGGACCCCTGGTACAGTCTCACATCATTTGAAGCCTCTGATATATTTACCTCCATCTCTTTTCCTCTCAGCTATGACCAGTTATTACCCTGCCTGTTCCTGCTGAGGAGAAGCATATTTACTTCATGATCCTCCCACCACCATGTCTCCCCATGGTGATGATGGTGTATAGAGAGATGTGCTATTTTCTCATCAATACATACTTAAAATAGAAATACATGTAGGCAGGGAACTTCATTTTGTTTAGGGTTTTATTGTGTCTTTTTACTTGTTACAAAGACTGTCTGTATTTTTACTGTTATTAAATTATACGTAGGACGTTGCTGGACAAATGGTTGCACTGGATGTCATCCAGTGGTATGAGAACTGCTTTGGGTTTAACGTTTGATAAATTTTCAGATAAGCGGCATTTTACCCAAATAAAGCACTTTTTTGGGATCACGCAATAAAAAATAAATAAATACAGAGGAGTATAAACACTTTTACAAGTCGCTGTACATGCCATAACATATTTTGCTGCTCAAACAACTTACATCAGTGTTTTAATTGAAGAATTGTTGAGGCAGTGATGTCAGCACCACGGCCAGCGCTTCCTAGGGGGCGCTGTATCCTCCACATCCTCGCCCATTTCATTCTTTCTTCTTACATTCAGAACATCTCATTTTAATGAAGTGAGGGAAGAAAATAAAGAAATCATAAAATATCTCACTAATAAGAAACTTCTTACCCAAGGGAAGGACCTCCTGTTCAAGAAGAATGACCCGAAGAAGTTTCCAGTTTGACTTTATGGCGTACTACACATGTTTGAACACAAGATGGCAGCATTGTAAAACAAACAGTCTTTTTTTTTTTTTTGTTTCATTGGGTACCAACCACGTTATTAAACGACATTTAACAATTTCATTTATTAGCCCTGCTCACATATGATTTAAATGAATACTTCAAACTTAAAGCTGCATAATGTTAAAACAACATCTACACAAAGCGCCATACTCTCTGACAAACATTATGTGTGAAACAAACTAATGTTAGTCAGAATAAAACTTTGTACATATTCTTAATATGCAAAGACAGAAGTTGGTAGCTGATGGAGATCCAGGACATCCTAAAACACTTCAACAAAGATTCTCCACAGGCCCCTTTGCTGTGGCCTTTTTCAAATCCTGTTTGCTCTCGAGGTTTGTCCATATTAAGCTCTTTAACATAGAGAAGCTATGCTAAATGGGATTTAATTACATTTTTTCTTGTTTTCTAATCAAGAAACGGAAGTTTTAATCTTGGGAAACATTTCTGTATGACCATAGTGTTAGTTTAGGATAATTATCTTGATTAAACCACTAAACAATGCAGACTTCAGAGTTTGGATAGTTTTCTCATCCTCAGGTTTTATTGTTCAGCTTCCATTAGCAATTAAATATTCAATAACTTTGGTCTTACAGAAAACCGTTATATTCTAGTCGTTAGGACTCATGTTTAAGTTTTCTTTTTCTCTAGCAGAGAGCCCTTTTGTCCCTCCAGCCTATTTTTGAGTGGACAGCTCAACACTATACTTTCAGCCTAGTGGCACTCCTGAGGACTAGCTCTAGTAATCCATATTATCTAATGTCTCTATTGCTTTTATTTTATTAGAATTTTATTTTATTGTTTTTTTTTTTTTAAGAATTACCATTTTTTTCATTCACTTAGATTAGCACAACTTTCATACTCAATGACATACTCCTATAATGGTAAAAAAGCTAAACTATTTAGTCTCCACAGCAATGAGGCAAGAAAAAACACACAACTTAGAGGCTAACTCGCCATAAATCATTTCTCTATAAAAAAGCAGGTATTTTTAAAATGAAACATGTGAACAATGTGTGTGATATCATTAGTTCACTGTCTTGATGACGCACTGCAATGGAACTAAAAAGTAAAGTTTTTACAAAAAAAAAGGGTAACTCAAATAAAAGGTGTCTTTGTTACGTTATCATAAAATATCATGCATATTGGACATAACATTAATTGAAACATTTACGCTTTATTTTGTTTATTTTTGTCTTTAAAAAGATTTGAGCTGATTTTGTACAATTTCTATTATATAAATATACTTAGAAACTTAAGCATATGCTGTGGAATAGAGAAGAGTTCACGGTCGATTCGAGGACTGCTGACAGTCCAGGTCCAGTAGCTTTAAACCGTGCTTGAAAGCTGGTATGTGTTTGGTTTCCTCCAATCATTTAGATACAGCTTTGTAATTAAACCGGTTTATTTCCAATGACAAGATGTCTTATAATTGTTCAGTCTTTTTCTAACTGTCTGGTTTTGATCATTAATATATGCCATGCTGAGTCAGAACTAGGGTCAGAGATAAAAAATATTTGGTTATATAATTTCTCTAAGCATTTCAGAGTGATTAAGTTGGAAAAATGACAATGGATTAGAGCTGTAAAAAAGTACTTGTACCCTAACAAATAATTTCTAATTTTTCTTATTTACCCTCTTTTGTGTCACATATATGTGTCTTAGATTCAAACATTAAAAGCAGACAAAGAAAACCAGAGTAAGTCTAAAAAGCAGACCTAGTTAAAAAAAAAAAAAAAAAGCAAAAATAGGTTCCATTGAAACCGGAATTAAGTGTGAGTAATCAAATTTTTTTAAAAGGTATGTTTAGTTTCACTAACCGCACCCAAGACTAATTACTGTCAGAGTAGTAGAATCAATTAAATCCTGAAATACATCCAGTCTGACAACAACGTGATTAAGGTGGAAACGTGCTGAAAAACCAACACATAATGCCTTAAACAAAAGAAAAATGTCCAACACATTTGTCAGTCTTGGGAGATTAACAAAGCCATGTCTGGGGCTTTGGGACTCTTCTGAATTACAGCGAGAGCGAGATGGTTATCAACTTTTTAGAAATTCATATGATGTGAATTTCTGGAATTTTCTTTGGGATTCTGTCTCTCACTGTTAGAATGTACATATGATTAAAATTG